ACAACAGGCCTATGATTAACCCTGTCAGTTTATGACTGTGCATACCTGTTCCTGGTGAGAACTCATCTGGGCTAGGCTGACAGGACAAGAAAGAGCTCGCAGATGACTATGGTAGTCTCCCCGTGGCTTAGGCATCCCTGTGCAGGGACTCACCTTGCCAGCATCAAGTCAACTATCAATCAAGATGCTCTGAGTTGCAGCTTAAGTTGGCTTAATCCAGAAAGAGAATGTAAGATTTCATATAGTAGAAAAGTCTACATGTAGGTCTTCTGGCTTCAGGTCCGGCTGGATCCAGAGGCTCATACCCCATCCCCCGGCCCTATTTTCTCTCTCACTCTTTGATCCTGTCTCTGGTGCACCTCTTGGCTTTGTTTTCCCTCGGTACTACATTCACTCTCAGCACACTCTCCCCACTTGGACTCCAGAAGCTCCAGGTTGACAGCATCCCAGCCCCAAGTCCAGAAAGAGAGTTCTTTCCTCTGTACAACCCCATACAAGACCCAGCACGGACTTTGCCCATAGACCCATCCCTGAACCAGTCACTGTGGCCAAGGGGAATCCGACGCGCTGATCTGCCAGGCCTGGGTCACATGCCTACCCTGGAATTAACCCACCCAATCTACCTGGACTCAGAGTAGGGATGGAGTAAATTCCTGAGGAAAAGGGAAGTGAACGTTGGGCAGGCAATGGATGCCTACTACTGTAACAAGCCAAGAGCCCCATCTAGATCCAAGGGGAGAGTGGTGATGGTCAGAAGCCCTCTGGGCCCAGAAGCACACCCTGGGAACCCATCTCCCTCTGTACAGTGAGGCTGCTCTGCTAGCATCTACAGGCTGTGCCCCTCAGCAGAAGAGACCCCAAAGGTTTATGGGTGGGGTGTTTGTTAAGGAAGAAAACATAGAAAACTGAAAGAGATAGGAGAGATGGGAAGAGATGGGAATGTTTAATGTTTAAAAATTACAGCAAGAAGAAGTTGGATTTGCCGGAATAAGGTCAGTATCCGAAAGAGGACATGCTGGGGTCATTTGGGGCAAAGGAAAAAGGAGGTTTCTGATAAAGCAGGTCTGTAGGGGAGGAAGAGATGACGACAAGGGGAAAGGGACGCCGTGGAGGAAAGCCAGAGAAATGGGGTGGTTATGGGTGCAGCCTTTTCAGAATGATGAAAACAGAAAACTTTCTAAGACCTCACTGCCTCACTGCTGGGAACCGAATGGCTCAGATTTCACAGCTGGACTTTCTATCAGTTCCTCTTTGCCTTGTAAATAGCAGCGCACAGGATGGAGAAAAACTGAGAGCTAGGAAAAGCTAGGTTAGTGCTGGGACAGCTCCACTTCCCATCCAGGGCCGGAATGGGCCCCCCTCCAGGAAACTGGCCCTACACACACTGTTCCCCAACCCTGGAGGAGCCCCCGGTTTCTCTAATACATCCACATTTCACGGAAGATGGTCTTACCTGCTCCGCCAGGACTCAAAAGACCAGTTCAGAACACTGTGCAGTTCAGAACTAACTAGGGGTAACTGTTAAAAATACAGATCCTTAGGCCCATCCTTGGAAGTTCCGATCTGACAAGGCTGGGGTGGGCCCCAGGCATCTGTATGTCAACAGGCTCCTTGGGATGTGCTGAAGAGCCACATCAGAGAACCACTGTCTTACCCAGATTGTGAAAGCTGGGAGGGAACGTCTCCTCTACGAAATGACAGCTGTCAACTAGAACCTGGGCAAGCACGCTGTGTCCCGCAGGCCCAGCCCAGCCTGCTGCTTGTTTTTATCAATAAACTTTTATGGGAACACAGCCACACCCACTCATTTACATGTCTTCTACCACTACTTCCACCGTATAGGGGCAGAGGCCATGGGGGCCAGAAACGCAGAAATATTTTCTCTCTGACACCTGCCAGGATGGTTTGCCTCCTCCTAAATTAGAAGGTAATCTCTGAGGCCCAGAAATGTATCTCTCTCGGTCAAAGATGTGGAATCCGAAGAACCTGCTTTTTCCTCTCACTTTTGTCCAGCGGTCTCACTGCCTTTCTCTCTGCATGGGCTGGCCCATGCACAGCCAGCCCAGAGCTCAGGGATGTTTAGAGGGCATTTGTTGTTTCCTCTACTTAGAATCCATCATTCTCCTGCTGAAAACAGCCTCTTACCTGGGGAAACTCCCGGCCCTCATTGGATAAGATCTCAATATAACTGTCCATCAAAACACTCCACCCTCTCCTTGGGCACGGGACCCAAGCTGAGCCAATTCTATGTTTACTTCCTGGAATTTAAATCTTGAACTGAGAAAACAGCCATTGACAGCCATGAGGTCTCCTTCCTTTCACCCCGGAGCCAGAAGGGAGCCTGCTCCAGGTCCCTGCAGCCACCCTGGTTATCTGTCCCTCAGACAGTCATTTCTCAGCCTTTTCTGTGATTCCATGGGTAGCCCCATCTCCTTGTAAAATATTCCTTTTTATGGCAAATTATATAGAATTTAAACCAATTGTTTACACCCCAGAAAAGCCCAATGAATGCCAAATACAGGGATTGGACTGGGCCATGAGGCATGGGTCTGCCCATTTCACAGATGGACACCTGGCCTCCAGAGTCGGAACAGGAAACCAGACACCTGTCTTGTTCCCACAATTCCTCCTGTTCCAATGTCACCCTCAATCACTCTAAGTCAATAGCATCAGACAGCATCAATCCAAAAATACAAGCATCATTTTAGAAATTAACAAATACGTAAGGAGGAGCCCTCCTCACACAGAGAGCAGTCATGACAACTCTATAGAAAGAATGATTCCCAGTGAGAGCTGTGTGTGTATGTCATGTAATATCAGGAATTAAAAAGCGTCAAAAGATCAAGTGGGAGGAACATTAAATATGAATGGGATGAAAGACACATTTCTGTGCACGGAATAATGACTTTAATGAGTTTCCTCACCCAAGTCACGGCAACATAAAGTACAAAAGCCGGGAAAGGAATTGAGGAGGAGAAGGGGGAGTGCAGGGGAGGCTTTGTGTGTGAAAGCAAGATGAGCAGGTAGGTAGGGGAAGAAAAGACAAGAGCTGAAAGAACTGTCAGGGTGAGTTCTGGGCCCTGATGCAAATTATGATTCCCAGGAGGTACCTTATGGGCACAGAGCAGCAGGACCTCCGGCCCCAGGGCAGCTGGCAGGCCCTAGAGCCCCACAGAGTTCCACTGTGACCCAAGGCTCACTCCAGCCCACCAGGACAGAGGCAGTCTGCTGACCTTGGCCACCCAGGGTAACCAAATGGGAGCCACGCTTGGAGGCGGTAGCTTCCCCAGCAGGCAGGCCAGGAGCAAATACACATATGCTATTGTCAGAATGCCTGCGTCCCCCCAAAACTCAAGGTGATGGCATGGGGTGGTGGGACCTTTGGGAGGGGATTAGGTCACGGGGGTGCAACCCTCATGAATGGAATTGGTGACCCTATTTAAAGAGGCTCCAGAGAGAACTCTGACTCCTTGCTGTGAGGCCACAGCAAGAAAGGGCCGTCTATCAACCAGGAAGTGGGTTCTCACCAAACACTGAACCCGGGTCTTGGAGTCCCAGGCTCCAGAACTAGGAGAAATAACTTTCTTTTGTTCATAAACTACCCAGGCTATGGTATTTTGCTGCAGTAGCCTGTACAGACCAAGACAACACAAAGGAACATGGCTTAAGCTTTTTTTTTTTTTTTTTTTTTTGAGAAGGCGTTTCGCTCTTGTTACCCAGGCTGGAGTGCAACGGCGCGATCTCGGCTCACCGCAACCTCCTCCTCCTGGGTTCAGGCAATTCTCCTGCCTCAGCCTACCGAGTAGCTGGGATTACAGGCAAGCGCCACCATGCCCAGCTAATTTTTTTTGTATTTTTAGTAGAGACGGGGTTTCACCACATTGATCAGGATGGTCTCGATCTCTTGACCTCGTGATCCCCCCGCCGCGGCCTCCCAAAGTGCTGGAATTACAGGCGTGAGCCACCGCGCCCGGCTGGCTTAAGCTTTAAAGGCAGACAAACCCTGGCCACCAATCCTGGGGCTGTCATTTCCCAGCTGTGAGCCGGTGATTTAACATTCCTTCAACTTGAGCTTCCTCGCCTGTGAGGTGGGATGCTGTTTTGTCCTCACAGCGCTGTTGGAGGATTAAGTGAGAAGACACACAGAAGCCTCTTGGCCTGGTCATGAAGAAGATGTCCAGTAACCATCACTCCCCTTGCCCTCACCCTCCCTCAGGCCATGCACACCGTGGCCATCCAGGAAGAAGCTGTTTCCAATGTTATTCTGAGTCCACTATCTTGTGCCACATTCACAGTAGCTCAGGAGACCAGGAAAACTTGAATGTCTATTCACACCAGAGACAGAAAGCTGCAGTGGCAGGCTGGCAGGGAGGAAAGATGTCTACCTTTGTCCAGCCTCCCCTTGACCCAGGTGAAGCTGAGGTCAGTGCATGGCAGGCCCGTGTAGAGCCAGCCCAGAGCTCAGGCTGCGTCGGCTTGGAACAGGTACATTTCCATGACAACCTTCTGCTTCCACAGTCATTGTCAATTTCCTCCTGTATAAGGGAACCACCAAAATGCCCAAGAAACACCCAGTGACTTCTCAGCCTCCAGCACTACAGGCATGGCTAAGTTCCACTGAGCTGCTCAGGTGGCCCACAAGAGGCAGAGACAAAAGTTCCTGCCTCGTTTGCATCATCAGACCCACATGCCAGGAAAATGGTAACAGTAATAATGATAGAAAGGCTTAAATGGCACTGAGAACCAAGAACTCCACATACAGTAACTTACTTACTCCTTACAATAAGGATTTTTTTGGAGCTCAGACTCCAAAAGTCTACTCGTGAAGTGCTTAAAACAGAGAGTGGCTGTAAGAAAAATACAGACTTACCAAAAAAAGCCCTCAGATCTGATCTGCTCAAAATCCTTGACAATAGAGAGGCAGCTACGCTCCCAGAGCACAGTGCCTGGCACCTCGTAGGATGTTAGCACCATGCTTGTGGAATTGGACTCGGACTCAGGCTAGGTAGATATTATTATGCCCATTTCACAGAAAAGGAAACTGAGGCATGGAATTTAAGTAACATATCCAAGGTCGCACAGCTAGTTAGTGGTGGAGATGGATTCCAACTTCAGTCACCCAGTTCTAAAAGTTCATGTTTCTAACCCTGAAGAACTTCATGGAAATAAACCTATCAGAAGAGGGAGCTGGTCAGAAGAAGGCTGGGAGGCGGTGGGGGATAAGTACCACTTACAAAGAAAGCAGGGGTGAAGCCCGAGGAGACTTTTGTTTGCCATCACAGATGCCACTCAGGAGAGGCAGCACAAGGACTGGAGCTTCAGCAGACGACAAGGTCCTAGAGCCTTTGCCACATCTCAGGTGGTTCTCATTGTCCCCTAACTATTTCTCTGCAATGACCAACAGCAAAGCAGTTAGCAAGGAAGACCTGTGGCTTACCAAAGAAGGAAGCCATGGGGCCGCCATAACCTGTTTTGCATCCCAGCTTGGTGGGGTGTTGGTGGGGGGATGGCATGGATGTCCATACCCCACCCAGGAGCCAGGGCAGGTTCGGCTGGGGCACCAGGCAGACTCCAGAACTGGGGCAGGATACCCACGTCAGACCTGGATTCCAGCTGTAATAAGAATTTATTTGTATCATTGTAATTATTTGTTCAATGGCCCCCAATTGACTCTATGTGAGAAAGTGAGAACTGTGTCTCTCTTGTTCGGTTCATATCCCCAGATGCTGGCTTGGAGCATGATGTATAGTAGGTACTCAATAAATATTTATTACATGAATGAGCAAAGAGAATAAGTATAAGCCAGGGTTTCTCAACTACAGCACTATTGGCATCTGGGGCTGGAGAATTCTCTGTTTTTAGAGGTCTGGACTGTGCATGGTAGGTTGTTTAGCAGCGTCTCTGACCTCCACATGTTAGATGCCAGTAGGATTCCCTCCTAGACGTAAGAACCAAAAATGTCCCCTGGGGGGCAAAATTGCCCCCAGCTGGGAACAACTAATATAAACCAATATCCTTGGTTAGTGACGCTAACTGAAAGAGAGAAGCCAGATTTAATCTGCATATGCAATGGACAGGAGGGAATCTGAGTCCTAGAAGCCAGGAGGGGCTGAGAAGGAGAAGATGTGAAAGCTGGGGTAACCCACTGAGCTCTGATGACCACCAGGAGCACCATCCAGTTTGTGTTGTAAGGCGTGGGGCATTTTGTGCTGACTTTAACATACAGAATAGGGTAGGTGGGAATACAGAGGGTGACAGCAGCGTCCAGGAGAGAGAGGTGGACCCAAGTCCAGATACCAAGGCAGGACAAAAACAGCCCCAGGCGTGGGCCTGAGAACAGATTGGGCAGCAGAAATCCCCACGCAGTTCCTGAACAAGGAATCTTTTGACAGGTGGCCTTGCAACAGCGACCCTCTGTCGTGTCTACTTTGAAGGCTGCCCTGTGCAATGTGGCCTCACACCCAGGAGGCCCTCGGATGAAGGTGGTCTCGGCAGATCCGCTCGGAGGGATCAGACCATAACATTACAGCTACATGATGGCCTCGTTCTTATTACACACACACTCGCCCTGTCTAAGCTTACGAACCCTGATTTGTTTATTTCTGAAAAACTGTCTCCACCAAGACAGCAAGCTGGGCTGAGAGAGATAGCACTGACTCAGCCATTTCCCCATCCTCGGCATAAAAGGATCTAAAAAGAATAATTTAAGCTTCTCTGGAGTGAGATCATTTAATGAATCTTCTCGATGCTAAGAGGTTTTATATGCCTTTTTAAAAACCCTTCCCCAAGCACGGAGCTATGATATTACCTTGGAGAGCAGAGAGATGAAGTGATACACGTATGCACAGCACACAGGAGGACGAGGTGGTTTCCTTGGCAACAACATCCATGTTCTGGCTTCCCTCGGCTAAATTGGAATATATTGAAATATCTGTTTTGGGCGCCTCTTTCGCGAAGGGAAATGAGTGGTTTTCTATTCAGGCACTCTCCGAACTGCGGGCCGGCAGCTGGGGAGCGATGTTCTGTGAGTTCGATGCATCTGAATGGGGCAAGGCTGTTAGCAAGCTGGCAGAGGTCCCCAGCCTTCCTTTGCAAAACCAAACTGTCGCTTCCTGAGCCAAGGGGAAATGAAAGCAGCAAACACATGAGGTTCGACTGGCCGGACAGACAGGCTAGGACTCTGTCTCACGCAGTCTTTCTGTGACTACTGTTCTGTAGCTTTCCAAACATACCCAGCTCGATAGATCAGACTCCAAAAGTCCACTCACGATGTGCTTAAAATGGAGAGTGGCTGTAAGAAAAATACAGACCTACCAAAAAAAGGGTCCTCAGTTCTGATCTGCTCAAAATCCTTGACAATAGACTGGGCGCAGTGGCTCAAGCCTGTAATCCCAGCACTTTGGGAGGCCGAGGCGGGTGGATCACGAGGTCAAGAGATCGAGACCATCCTGGTCAACATGGTGAAACCCCGTCTCTACTAAAAATACAAAAAATTAGCTGGGCATGGTGGCACGTGCCTGTAATCCCAGCTACTCAGGAGGCTGAGGCAGGAGAATTGCCTGAACCCAGGAGGTGGAGGTTGCGGTGAGCCGATATCGTGCCATTGCACTCCAGGCTGGGTAACAAGAGCAAAACTCTGTCTAAAAAATAAAAATAAATAAATAAATAAATAAATAAATCCTTGACAATAGGGAGGCAGCTATGCCCCAAAGCACACTGCCTGGCACCCAGTAGGATGTTAGCACCATGTCTATGGAATTGGACTTGGACTCAGGCAGACCTCAGTTTTGGCCCTGGCTTTGCTATCAACATTCTGCATGATGTTGCAAACATTCCATAAACCCTTTGGCCTCAGTTTCTCCTCTCCAAAGCAGAGATAAGCATCCCTTCCTATAGAATTGTTGTGAAGATTAAATGGGGTGACCTGTAAAATGCCTGGCATGAAAGAGGCATTCCATTATGGTTTCTTTTCCCCACCAAGAAACAAGGAGCATTCTGTTTCTTTCAGACAGGTGAAATTTACAGAAAGGAACAGTGTTTTAGGGAGAGCAGGAACAGCCTCACCCCAGGAGCCAAATTCTTTTCCATTTTTGTTTTCAGGGTGCTTTTGCAGAGCGAGACAGCCTAGGTTGGGAAGTGTCTGGATCGGAAGGTCAGAAGGGTCAACTCAGTCATAACCACAGAACCAGCTACAAGCTTCAGGGGAAGTGGAACAAGGAAACAGCAAGGGCCCGAGGTCTCGGCAGGCCAGTGGCAGGTAGCACCGCAGAGACAAGTGGGAGCATCAGGCATCAGCAGGGGCCAAGGAGGGGATGCTGAAAGGGCAGGGAGGTGAGGTCTTCTGGGGAGGAGTACCAGCCCTGCACATCAGCGACACCATCTTTAGAACTGGCTCTATATTTAAAGACCCTCACAAAAGATTGTCCGCTATGTTTTGCTGCACTAGTTCATACCTGTCCCTCCTAAGAAAGTCTGTTGTAGGACTTGGTTGAAATAGTGCTTTAATGTAAACACATCAGGACCAAGGATTTCCCATTAGAAGCACAACATTTAGAACTAATTCCTAGACTGTTATTCTTTCTAAAAAGCATTATGAATACAAAACTGCATTTCAGTTCTACTTCTCATATTTTTTGTGTGCCTTTGGAGATAAAACAAATCTTTTCTAAGCCTTGTACTTGCGCTCTACATAATGACTGCCCCTTCCTAAAGTCACAGGACTGCAGTGAGGGTAAAATTAAAAGGCAGGTAGCATAGTGAGTGGGGACACACCATCTGTGTCTTTATATCTTATGCTTTTATATCTTCTGATCATCTGTAAAAGAGAGGTTTGCTACTTAGCTGAAGAATGTACAAGCTCAGACCCTTTTCCCCTGGGAAGGTTAAAAAAAAGAAAAAGGGTTAAAAAAAAACACACACACAATAACAATTCAAGAGATTCTCTAGAAAAACAAACTTCTACTGCTTACTAATAAATTTCTGAAAAAAGAATACCACTGAAGGGATTATTTGTTCTGCAGATTTTAAAATGCATTCTAAAGCTACAATAATTAAAACAGTGTGGTACCAACAAAAAAATTAGCAGATGGAACAATGAGGCAGACTCAATACATAATATAGTTAAAACTTTAATATACTTTTAAGATAGAATTTTATGTCATTATGGAAAAATATGAACTATTCAGTGAATTATGGTTTGAGGATAACTGAACAACTCACTAGGGAGCAAATTTAAACTGTATCCCTACCTCACACCATACTGTAAAATAAATTCCAGGCCAGGCACAGTGGCTCACACCTGTAATTCCAACACTTTGAGGGGGCAAGGTAGAGGCTTACCTGTTGTCAGGAGTTCAAGACCAGTCTGGGCAACAAAGCAAGACTCTGTCTGGACAAAAAAATTAAAATTTATCCAGGCATGGTGGTGCCAGCCTGTAGTCCCAGTTACTGGGGAGGCTGAAATGGGAGAATTGCCTGAGCCCAGAAGTTTGAGGCTGTAGTGAACTGTGATCATTCCACTGCACTCTAGCCTCAGCAATAGAGCAAGACCTCATCTCAAAAATATAAAATACAATAAAATTCCAGATAGGTTAAATATTAAAATAAAAATATCAGAGTATTAAAAGGAAATATGAAGCAAGATTCACATTATCTTCAGTATGCCAGACATCTTTTGTGCCCCATGTCACACCCTCTCAGCTCCTCTTTCTGTTTCACCATGCCAGCCATGCCACATCTCCCTCTCTCTCTGCTCACAGCTTCTCTGGCCCAGCTCTTTGGGACACCTGCTGTCAGTGACCAACTCTGCCATTCTGCTGTGTGCACAATACTGAGAGTGCAAAGAGTCCACACCTCACAGGGCAGCTCTTGACCCTTGCAAAATAAAAACCTTCTTCCATCTGCCAGGGAGACAATTCTGAGGCATGTTCTCCAAAGTTCCTGACAGGACCCCAGCAGGACTGAGCCCCTATTTCCTCTGCTTTGGGCTCCCTTCATGTCTCGTTTCCCTCTTCCCAGCCTCCTACTCCTCTTCCTTGGGAGCCCATCACAAAATAAACTCTGTAGATGAGCCTTTGTTGTAGGTTCTGCTTTTGGGAGACCCAAGCTCAGATAGGTAGAAAAGACCTAAGTGTAGAGCTAAAATGAGAAAACATAAAGAGAAAAGTCAATAGACTTACTTTCTTTAAAATTTAAAACTGTGCATCAAAATATTTCACATATATGCGTCCCTTTCCTTCTAAAACAACTAAGGCTAGAAGCCACAAGGTGGGGTTATGCAAAGTTGGCATCCATGCAAAATGAGACAGCAGCCAGTGGGGCGCTGGGGAGCATCATGGGTGGAGGGGAGCATCGTGGGGTATCAAAGGCTGAACAGGGAAAAGGGGCCAAACATGAGGGTGAGTGGTGGCCTAGTATGAGTAGCTGAGCCCAAGTGGTACAAACGGGGCATCTGAGGAGTGGGAAACAGCCCAGCATGGGTGTCACAGCCTGAGTAGGTCGAAGAGGTATCCATGAAAGGAGGTGGGCCAGAACAGGGTGTTGGAGCCAGAACAGGACAAGAAAGGCAGCTCTAATACACTGATGGGAAGGGTGTCCCTAGGGCAATGGCAATGATAAGGGACAGATTATATACAATGTATTGATCAAATGACTAAATATATTACAGCAGATGAGTTGGGAGCCAGCTTTCTCACTGCCACCGAAGACATAACAATGGCCTGGCACAGTGGCTCACACCTGTAATCCCAGCACTTTGAGATGCAGAGTTGGGTGAATCATCTAAGCTCAGGAGTTGAAGACAAGCCTGCCCAACATGGTGAAAACCCATCTCTACTAAAAATACAAAAATTAACTGGATGTGGTGGTGGGTGCCAGTAGTCCCAGCTACTTGGAAAGCCAAGACAGGAGAATAGCTTGAACGCAGGAGGTGGAGGTTGCAGTGAGTAGAGATCATATCACTGCACTCCAGCCTGGGCAACAGAACAAAACTATCTCAAAAAAAGAGAAGACGACAGTTATCAGAATGGAAATGGAGAAAGGCAGACTATACCCTGTGGCATGTGATCAGAATTGGAGGCATTAGTGTGAACTTTAACATTCCACAGTGCCTCCTGCACCCACCCCGGCTCCTGTCCCATCTTGCGCAGATGCCAATCTTGTGTATGCATAGATATATGATAACCACTAAAAATTATTTTACAAATTTACTCCCCTATGGCAACAATTAAAAATTAAACAAATACGATTTAATGTATATGCATTAGTCCATTGTCACACTGCTGATAAAGACATACATGAGACTGGGAAGAAAAGGATGTTTACTTTGACTTACAGTTCCACATGTCTAAGGAGGTCTCATAATCATGACAGAGGGCAAAAGGCACTTCTTACATGGTGGCAGCAAGAGAGAAATCAGGAAGAAGCAAAAGTAGAAACTCCTGATAAACCCATCAGATATTGTGAGACTTATTCACAAACATGAGAATAGCATGGAAAAGACTGGCCCCCATGATTCAATTACCTCCCCCTGGGTCCCTCCCACAACACATGGGAATTCTGGGAGATATAATTCAAGTTGAGATTTGAATGGGAACATAGACAAACCCTATCATTTCACCCCTGGCCTCTCCAAATCTCATGTCCTCACATTTCAAAACCAATCATGCCTTCCCAACAGTCTCCTAAAGTCTTAACTCATTTCAGCATCAACCCAAAAGTCCATACTCCTAAGTCTCATCCAAGACAAGGCAAGTCCCTTCCACCTATGAGCTTGTAAAATCAAAAGCAAGCTAGTTACTTCCTAGATACAATGGGGGTACAGGCATTAGATAAATACAGTCTTTACAAATGGGAGAGATTGGCCAAAATAAAGGAGTTATAGGGCCCATGCAAATCTGAAATCCAGCAAGGCAGTCAAATTTTAAAGCTCCAAAATGATCTCCTTTGCCTCCAGGTCATGCTGATGTAAGAGGTGTGTTCCCATGGTCTGGGGCAGCTCTGCCCCTGTGGCTTTGCAGGGTACAGCCTTTCTCCTGGCTTTCACAGGCTGGTGTTGAGTGTCTGTAGCATTTCCAGGCACACAGTGCAAGCTGTCAGTGGATCTACCATTCTAAGGTCTGGAGGACAGTAGCCCTCTTCTCACAGCACCACTAGGCAGTTCCCCAGTAGGAACTCTGTGTCGGGACTCCCACCCCATATTTCCCTTCTGCACTGCCCTAGCAGAGCTTCTCCATGAGGGATTATCCCTGCAGCA